CTGTGCTGCATCCATATTCCTAGCCCTGTAGGAGTTTGGTCACCGACAAGGGCAAACCATGGAGGCAACATGTTTGTATGACTTGTCGTGAAGGAAGTATTGCTTTCACAGTTCTGGAAGCAGTTGGCATATGACCTTGCGGAGTCATCATGAAGGAGTGAAGCCGCTGGAGCGCCAGTCGGGCTGTTACTTGAAGGCTTGGTCGAACTGTTTGGTCTAGGGATCGCTGATAGAATGAACGATGTATCTCGAAGCGTGCCCATTTGATTTTGTGGCCATTTGGCGCTTGTCAAGTTGGTCTCTTTTGACATGTTGTGGAATTGCAGATGATTGTGGACGCATGGCTGCGTATCCTCAGCAGCCCACCATGTGTTGGGCACCTTGGCATCGTGGTGTATGTCCACAGTGGTGGCGTCCCAAACAGACTGCGGGCAAGTTGAGTGATGCTCCTTGCATTGCGCTGCATCCATATTCCTAGCCCTGTAGGAGTTTGGTCACCGACAAGGGCAAACCATGGAGGCAACATGTTTGTATGACTTGGCGTGAAGGAAGCATTGCTCTCATAGTTCTGGAAGCAGTTTGCATATGACCTTGCGGAGTCATCATGAAGGATTGAAGCCGCTGGTGCGCCAGTCGGGCTGTTACTTGAAGGCTTGGTCGAACTGTTTAGTCTTGGAATCACTGATGGAATGACTGACAAAGGTCAATGTTTGCCGATTTGCTGCACTTTGTTGCTGTGCGGCTGGTTGTGCTCGTTTGTTGCATGGTGACAGGTTGTAGAGTTGCGGATTAATGTGGGCGCGTGGCTGCGTATCCTCAGCAGCCCACCATGTGTTGGGCACCTTAACATCGTGGTGTATGTCCACAGTGGTGGCGTCCCAAACGGACTGCGGGCAAGTTGAGTGATGCTCCTTGCGCTGCGCTGCATCCATATTTCTAGCCCTGTACGTGTTTGGTCTCCGACAAGGGCAAACCATGGAGGCATCATGTCTGTATGACTTGGCGTGAAGGAAGCATTTGTTTCACAGATCTGGAAGCAGTTGGCATAGGACCTTGCGGAGTCATCATGAAGCAGTTCTTGGGCAGGTGCGCCAGTTGGGCTGTTACTTGAAGGCTTGGTCGATCTGTTTGGTGTTGGGATCGCTGATGGAATGACTGATGTATCTCAAGGCGTGCCGATTGGATTGTGTGGCCCTGTGGCGCTTGTCAAGTTGGTCTCTTTTGACATGTTGCGCAGCTTGCAGATGATTGTGGACGCGTGGCTGCGTATCCTCAGCAGCCCACCATGTGTTGGGCACCTTGGCATCGTGGTGTATGTCCACAGTGGTGGCGTCCCAAACAGACTGCGGGCAAGTTGAGTGATGCTCCTTGCATTGCGCTGCATCCATATTCCTAGCCCTGTAGGAGTTTGGTCACCGACAAGGGCAAACCATGGAGGCAACATGTTTGTATGACTTGGCGTGAAGGAAGCATTGCTCTCATAGTTCTGGAAGCAGTTTGCATATGACCTTGCGGAGTCATCATGAAGGATTGAAGCCGCTGGTGCGCCAGTCGGGCTGTTACTTGAAGGCTTGGTCGAACTGTTTAGTCTTGGAATCACTGATGGAATGACTGACAAAGGTCAATGTTTGCCGATTTGCTGCACTTTGTTGCTGTGCGGCTGGTTGTGCTCGTTTGTTGCATGGTGACAGGTTGTAGAGTTGCGGATTAATGTGGGCACGTGGCTGCGTATCCTCAGCAGCCCACCATGTGTTGGGCACCTTGACATCGTGGTGTATGTCCACAGTGGTGGCGTCCCAAACGGACTGCGGGCAAGTTGAGTGATGCTCCTTGCACTGCGCTGCATCCATATTTCTAGCCCTGTACGTGTTTGGTCACCGACAAGGGCAAACCATGGAGGCATTATGTTTACACGACTTGGCGTGAAGAAAGCATTGGTTTCACAGATCTGGAAGTGGGCACAGGACCTTGAGGAATCAACATGAAGGAGTGAAGCCGGTGGTGCGCCGGTCGGGGTGCTACTTGAGGGCTTGGTCGAACAGTTTGGTCTAGAGATCGCTCATAGAATGACTGACGTATCTCAAGGCGTGCCCATTTGATTATGTGGCCCTGTGGCGCTTGTCAAGTTGGTCTCTTTTGACATGTTGCGCAGCTTGCAGATTGTGGACGCATGGCTGCGTATCCTCAGCAGCCCACCATGTGTTGGGCACCTTGGCATCGTGGTGTATGTCCACAGTGGTGGCGTCCCAAACGGACTGCGGGCAAGTTGAGTGATGCTCCTTGCACTGCGCTGCATCCATATTCCTAGCCCTGTAGGTGTTTGGTCACCGACAAGGGCAAACCATGGAGGCATCACGTCTATATGACTTGGCGTGAAGGAAGCATTGGTTTCACAGATCTGGAAGCAGTTGACATAGGACCTTGAGGAGCCAACATGAAGGAGTGAAACCGCCAGTGCGCCAGCCAGGCTGTTATTTGAAGGCTGGGTCGAACTGTTTGGTCTAGGGATCGCTGATAAAAAGACTGACGTATCCCAAAGCGTGCCCATTTGATTTTGTGGCCCTTTGGCGCTTGTCAAGTTGGTCTCTTTTGACATATTGTGGAATTGCAGATGATTGTGGACGCAGGGCTGCATATCCTCAGCAGCCCACCATGTGTTGGGCACCTTGGCATCGTGGTGTATGTCCACAGTGGTGGCGTCCCAAACGAACTGCGGGCAAGTTGAGTGATGCTCCTTGCACTGTGCTGCATCCATATTCCTAGCCCTGTAGGTGTTTGGTCACCGTCAAGGGCAAACCATGGAGGCATCATGTTTACATGAGTTGGCGTGAAGGAAGTATTGTTTTCACAGTTCTGGAAGCAGTTGGCATATGACCTTGCGGAGACATCATGAAGGATTGAAGCCGCTGGTGCGCCAGTCGGGCTGTTACTTGAAGGCTTGGTCGAACTGTTTGGTCTTGGGATCGATGGTGGAATGACAGATGTATCTCAAGGCGAGCCCATTTGATTGTGCGGGCCTGCGGCGCTTGTCAAGTTGGTCTTTATTGTCATGTTGTGCAGCTTGCAAACTTGCAGATGATCGTGGACGCATGGCTGCGTATCCTCAGCAGCCCACCATGTGTTGGGCACCTTGGCATCATGGTGTATGTCCACAGTGGTGGCGTCCTAAACGGACTGCGTGCAAGTTGAGTGATGCTCCTTGCACTGTGCTGCATCCATATTCCTAGCCCTGTAGGAGTTTGGTCACCGACAAGGGCAAACCATGGAGGCATCATGTTTGTATGACTTGGCGTGAAGGAAGTATTGTTTTCACAGTTCTGGAAGCAGTTGGCATATGACCTTGCGGAGACATCATGAAGGATTGAAGCCGCTGGTGCGCCAGTCGGGCTGTTACTTGAAGGCTTGGTCGAACTGTTTGGTCTTGGGATCGATGATGGAATGACAGATGTATCTCAAGGCGAGCCCATTTGATTGTGCGGGCCTGCGGCGCTTGTCAAGTTGGTCTTTATTGTCATGTTGAAGTGCAGCTTGCAAACTTGCAGATGATTGTGGACGCATGGCTGCGTATCCTCAGCAGCCCACCATATGTTGGGCACCTTGGCATCATGGTGTATGTCCACAGTGGTGGCGTCCTAAACGGACTGCGGGCAAGTTGAGTGATGCTCCTTGCACTGCGCTGCATCCATATTCCTAGCCCTGTAGGTGTTTGGTCACCGACAAGGGCAAACCATGGAGGCATCACGTCTATATGACTTGGCGTGAAGGAAGCATTGGTTTCACAGATCTGGAAGCAGTTGACATAGGACCTTGAGGAGCCAGTGCGCCAGTCGGGCTGTTACTTGAAGGCTTGGTCGATCTGTTTGGTGTTGGGATCGCTGATGCAATGACTGATGTATCTCAAGGCGTGCCGATTGGATTGTGTGGCCCTGTGGCGCTTGTCAAGTTGGTCTCTTTTGACATGTTGTGGAATTGCAGATGATTGTGGACGCGTGGCTGCGTATCCTCAGCAGCCCACCATGTGTTGGGCACCTTGGCATCGTGGTGTATGTCCACAGTGGTGGCGTCCCAAACGGACTGCGGGCAAGTTGAGTGATGCTCATTGCACTGCGCTGCATCCATATTCCTAGCCCTGTAGGTGTTTGGTCATCATCCAGGGCAAACCATGGAGGCATCAAATTTGTATGACTTGGCGTGAAGGCAGCATTGCTTTCATAGTTCGGGAAGCAGTTGGCATATGACCTTGCGGAGTCATCATGAAGGATTGAAGCCGCTGGAGCGCCAGTCGGGCTGTTACTTGAAGGCTTGGTCGAACAGTTTGGTCTTGGGATCGCTGATGGAATGACTGATAACGGTCAACGCGTGCCGCTTTACTATGTTGCTGTTTGCGTATAGTCGTGCCTGTCCCTGTGTTGGCCCCTTGGCAGTTTGCAAGTTGCTTGTCGGGTTTTCCGTTGATGGTACTGGGCTGTGCTTTGGTGTGCCTTTGTGTGTTCCCCTAGTCCCTGCCCTTTCCGGAAAGCTGTCATATCGTGAGGCGGCGTGCATACTGTTGAAGTTGCGGAGCCTGCATGGTATATCGTCCGTTGTTTTCCTTTGTTGTGCTCAGGGAACAGAAAGGCTTAGAGCCACTTCCTTTAACATTATACGTGGCACTGAGTCGCTTGCAGACTTGCAGGAACATGTCCTTTCTGGTTTGGACTGACGGGCACGCACCGGTTCCTCGGATGTTTGTTTGGCGGGTGCGTGGCAGAATGTCAAAGACAACCAACGCCGAGTATTATGCGTCCAATTCAAACCATTGGAGCTTTTCTTCGGGCCAGGTTGACCACCCAAGTACTTACTGTCGACCCCGTATTACGGTTATCAACCCAGTTTATCAACGGGGGGGTGGGGGGTCCCTCCAAAAGTGGTCTGATTCCCGACTAAATCCAGGGACACCCGCCCTATCAATAAACTGGGGTTGATTGATATGGGGTCAACGGCTGGCCTTTGCCACTGAGGAGACGCCGGCAAGAGAGATCTACAGGCCGAAAGTTCGATGTGCGTAGTGAGGACGTGCCCCAAACATGTCCGAACCCCAAAACTTCACCGAGTTCCTTGGCTCTACGTTGGGCGAAGGCCATTGTGGTGGCACGCAAGTTTATCCATCAGCACGCTTTTTTTGGCCAATCCACAGTGAGAAAAGGACACCATTGCCAGTTCCACTGTCTTGATTGCTATTGGGTTGGATCGTTGGATCTTTAGACTTTAGCTATTCCGGAAGTTCTGGATGTTCCATTGAACACACAAGTCAAACACTATTTGCAGAGCGCGCGTTGCAGCAACGAAGCGGTTTGTCCAAACCTCGAATGCACCTTTGAATCGGAAGTCCCTTCCACCGTTGCGAGATCTGGCCATTTTTGGCGCACAACGCCAGAGCCACCAGACCAGCCTCCATGGCCCGCCATAGGCCGGCCGATCCGCCGATCGGGGGGCCCGGCGATGGGCGCCATAACGCCAGGCTCGGGGTTCTGCATCGACCTGGAGCGCCGGATTCTGATCACCAACGCTCACTGCGTGGAGTGGCATGCCCAGGCGCTGCAAAAAATCCGACGGGCCGTTGGTCGAAAGCCTGGGGCTGGCTCTTCCTTTTGTTTGAGTTGGTCCCCCCCTTCTTGGGGTAAAGGGAAACCAAAAGGACCACCGAAGCCATTTTGGAAGGGCGCCCCAAAAAAAAGGACCTATGAGGGGGTTGGCTTTGGCAAAAAAAAGAAAGTTTACTCTGATTTTTTTTGGTGTGTGTGTGTGTGTGTTTGTGAGGATCCTTTAAAAAGGAAGTCATACAAAAATAATTGGGGGGTCCCTACTTAGACGTACACTCATTTGGTTCTGTTTCTGAGGGCTATTGAAGCCCTTCAGCATCCATGCGTGTGACGTGGCCTTTTTTCTACATCGGCAATCATGAATGAAGGAATGAATGACCAAGGTCAACATCACTTCTGCCGCTTTTTCTGGACTTTGCTGCCTGGAAAGAGGAGGTGCCAAACAAATTGGGCCCTCATGTGTGTGTGCGTGTGTGTGGGCGTGTGTGTATGGCATTTTTCACGGTTGGTTGAAAGCGCACCCAAAAAGAGTATCACGATGAGGGTCCCCCTTCCCCCCCCCCCAATTTCGACTCTTGGAGCGTCACCCAATCCTGTGTTTGCCTAGGAGCCCCCATGGAGATCTGGCAATCGAAATGGCAACGGTCACTGTTTAGGACATCACTCTGCAAAGTGCACTTCTACTGGTTGAGTAAACGGAAACAAATCGGCGAAACCTTTTGTTTTGCGAAACCTTGAATTGGAGAAATTGGTTGATTCAAATTCCGCCGGTAAATGCTTGCCAACTTAAAGCCAGTGGTTTCTCCGTGCATGCCCAAGCAAAATGATCTAAACGGCCAACCCTGGGACTGAATCGCTTCCTTTGGAAGTTTCACCTTCATTCCAAAGGGGGGGCCTTGATACCTTCCACAAAACCCAACGCAGAAGCCTGGGCCTAGTGACGGGGTTTCTCGTGCAAGAGGGGGGGCTCCACTTGCCACCTTTGGTGGACAAAAAAAATCGACCCCCTCGTAGTGAAGGATTCCTTTTTAAGGGGGCCGCCCATTTTCTGACAAAAGGTGGCAAAAAGACCCCCCGGCAGCACAGGAGAGATCGTTCAGCGCCGAAGATCTTTATGAGAGCCCCACGTGTCGGGTGAAACCTGCAGCTCCTTCCATCCTTCCACGGCGCCAGATGGTGCTAGGCTCTCTGCGAAGGGCTACATTCCATCAATTGCCCACAGCATGCGTTGGCAGAGAGCTGCCCGGCGTACGATTTGAGATGCTGAATTCAACGAAGCCAATGAGATCCCTGATGCTTGACAGGATAAGGCCGGCTGAAACTGACTCCTCGGACGGACCTCGGACCTTGGCTCCACTACCTCCATGTCCCGTTTTGATGACTTTCTGGGGCCCCATGCTGTGCCTCTTTCAGGATCCATGTTTCCAGCCCTTGGCCAAAACACCCCCTTTCCCTGCCAAGCGGACAGACTCGATTCTTGGATGTCCAAGCAGGATAGAACCATGAGTGCTTCCACCCCAAAAAAAGGTAACCAGAGTAAGCCATCCATCGAAACGCGGTAAATTCACGCAGGTTGCCTTCAAGTGGCCGGTTCGCCTGGAAGCACTTGGCTGGGTGAAGTCAACCCCTCCGTACCCACACCGGGGGGTGACCCCACACGCCGATGTCAGGTGAAAGCTCAGCGCCGGGGCTCCGACGTGAAGCACCTGGCCAAGGCGGATCCGGTGAACGCTACGGAAATCCGGAGCCCCAGGGATTTCGTCCCGTTGGTTTCCGGTGAAGCGCCAGAAAGGAGAGACAGACCCATGCTGGTGTTCTAAAAAGTAGGAAAATCAACATGGAAACTAGAAAATAGGAGAAATTGGAAAGAAAAAAACACATGGACATGGATGATGGCCTGCGGTTTCCACAAGAATCTCCCCCGCCTAAAATAGGCTCCACCATGTGTCGAGAATCTCATTAGGAGGTCCCATCTTTTGAGACAAGACCATGTAAACCAATAGGTATACATATGGTTTTCTGGACATTTGCGCACTGCTTGTTTTGTTGAGGGCGGGTGGATGTCTATACATATATATATATATATATATATGTTCCAGGCCGTGGACCCCCCCCCCCTCCCCCCCCCAACCCCCCCCGCCCTGTGGGGGTGGGGTGGGTGGGTGGTGGGGTGGTGGTGGTGGGGTGGTGGTTGGGTGGTTGGGTGGTTGGGTGGTTGGGTGGTTGGGCCAACCCCCCCCCCCCTGTGGGGGGTGGGGTGGGTGGTGGGGTGGTGGGGTGGTGGGGTGGTGGGGTGGTGGTGGTTGGGTGGTTGGGTGGTTGGGTGGTTGGGTGGTTGGGTGGTTGGGTGGTTGGGTGGTTGGGTGTGGTTCGGAGTTGGTTTAGGCTTGGTGGGTTGGTTTAGGGTTGGTTCAGGGTTGGTTCAGGGTTGGTTCAGGGTTGGTTTGCGGTGGGTTTGGGTTTTGGGTTGATTTAGGCTTAGGGTTGGGGTTAAGGAGGGTTGCAGGGTGGTTTGGTTTAGGGTAGGATGTTGCGGAGGGTTGCAGGGTGGTTTGGTTTAGGGTAGGATGTTGCGAGAGGTGCGGGGGTGTTGGTTCACGGGGTGAGGGACCGAAGCTGCAGGGCTCGCACGGTACTGGACAGCATCCCCAGCATTGCCAGCATCATCCCCAAGATGCGGATGATGCGGGGGAATGGGGGGACCATACCATTGGGGGGGGGGGGGTACGTGGCCCAGGGACTGGTACATATATATATATATATTTATGTATACATATAAAAGCATATCTATTTGTATATATGTCTATATGTATATATATATATATGTATTACATATATGTATGTAATGTATGTATGTATGTATGTATGTATATGTATGTATGTATGTAATGTAATGTAATGTAATGTAATGTAATGTAATGTAATGTAATGTAATGTAATGTAATGTAATGTAATGTAATGTATGTATGTATGTATGTAATATGTAATGTATATGTAATGTAATGTAATGTATGTATGTATGTAATGTATGTATGTATGTAATGTAATGTATGTAATGTAATGTAATGTGTAATGTGTAATGTAATGTAATGTAATGTATGTAATGTATGCATGTATGCATGTAATCTATGTAATGTATGTATGTATGTATGTATGTATGTAATGTAATGTAATGTAATGTAATGTAATGTAATGTAATGTATGTATGTATGTATGTATGTATGTATGTATGTAATTTAATGTAAATGTAATGTAATGTAATGTATGTATGTATGTAATGTATGTATGTATGTATGTATGTATGTATGTATGTAATGTATGTATGTATAATGTAATGTAATGTAATGTAATGTATGTATGTATGTATGTATGTATGTAATGTATGTATGTATGTATGTATGTATGTATGTATGTATTGTAATGTATGTATGTATGTATGTATGTATGTATGTAATGTAATGTAATGTAATGTAATGTAATGTAATGTAATGTAATGTAATGTAATGTAATGTAATGTAATGTAATGTATGTAATGTAATGTAATGTAATGTATGTATGTATGTAATGTATTAATGTATGTATGTATGTATGTATGTATGTATGTATGTATGTAATGTAATGTAAATGTAATGTAAATGTAATGTAATGTATGTATGTGTGTATGTATGTAATGTAATGTATGTATGTATGTATGTAATGTAATGTATGTATGTATATATGTATGTATGTATGTATGTATGTATGTATGTATGTATGTAATGTAATGTAATGTAATGTAATGTAATGTAATGTAATGTAATGTAATGTAATGTAATGTAATGTAAGTAATGTAATGTAAGTAATGTATGTATGTATGTATGTATGTATGTATGTATGTATGTATGTATGTATGTATGTATGTATGTATGTATGTATGTATGTATGTATGTATGTATGTATGTATGTATGTATGTATGTATGTATGTATGTATGTAATGTATGTATGTATGTATGTATGTATGTATGTATGTATGTATGTATGTATGTATGTATGTAATGTATGTATGTATGTATGTATGTATGTATGTATGTATGTATGTATGTATGTATGTATGTATGTATGTATGTATGTATGTGTGTATGTATGTATGTATGTATGTAATGTAATGTAATGTAATGTAATGTAATGTAATGTAATGTAATGTAACGTAACGTAACGTAATGTAATGTATGTATGTATGTATGTATGTATGTATGTATGTATGTATGTAATGTATGTATGTATGTATGTATGTATGTATGTATGTATGTATGTATGTATGTATGTATGTATGTATGTATGTATGTATGTATGTATAAATATTTATTTGTATATATATATATATGTTTCTACGTCTTTACATACATATATATATATATATGTACATCTTCATTTCTCCCGACTGGTTGGAGCGGGTACACCGCGCTGTAGGTGGGACGTCGGGCTTTGGGGGCCCGCTGTCTCACCTCAGGGCGGCTTGAGGGAATTTCTTTTTTCCCGGGAACAGCAGACACCAACCAACTGGTGGTTTTTTCAGGGGATCTGTGGGCTAGTTCCTCTTGTCAACGTTTTGTTTGGGAGGAGAGGTACTTTTGAAGCCATCCAAAAGAAGTGTGCCGAATCTTTGTCTCAAATCCAGAGGTCTGGGGGAAACCCCACAGTCGTGCCAGGTGCTGTCAGTGGGATGGGAGTGTGACGCTGCAGTGCTCACCGTAGAGGACGACGAGCTTTTGGATCGCAAGAGCTATTGGTTTGGATCGACAGGGCCGATTTTTGGGACCTCAACAAGTGGCATCCAGAACCGCCAAGCGGTGCCCTTGTTGCCTGTTTGTGGGTAGGGTCCCCCTTTAAAGTCCACCAACCCAAAAAAGGATGCCCCTTTTTTTCCGCATGGTTACTGGGTATGTCAGGCAGGTTCACTGCAACCCACCAGTAGAGCTCAAAGCAATTGAGTGCGGAAAACAGTGTGCTCATGTGGATTTTCTCGACAGAGAAGTCGGTCCCCGAACATGTTGATATTCCTTTTGGTTCCATTTAACATACCAATCAAAATGGGGTCCACCGGCACTAACTCGGGGGGGGTGACTGCCGGTTTTGTCGCATCCTGAATCGATAAATATGCAGGAGTGTTAAGATATTTGACATAGGAGACAAGCTAGGAAATCCACCGGGGGTCCTTGAAATTAGGGTTTGAACACCTCCGAATCCATGAGGCTTTGCCCGAAGTGGAACTTGTGATTTTGGTGTTGGACCTGGGGAAAGGAAATGTGTTTCTGGGGTTAAAGTCAAAAACTGGAGGGGGGTTCCCTGAAACCTACCACTTAAAAGGCGCCTGTAGCAGCAGAATAATGGGGCCAGGCTACCAAAAGGGGTTCCCCCAAAAAACGGGGAGCCGCGTTGGTTCTCAGGGTTCGCTGGTTCTTAAGCCCCATCGGGGTTAAGCGGCCAAATTGAGAAAGATCCCTCATGTAAATGGAAGGTTCAGCTAAACTCCATGAATTCCTATTGAGGGCCCGTAGGGGCCGATATTGGAGGGGGGCCAACACCCATGTGGGTGTGTTTAACAGCAAACAACGCGCGTAACTCCCAAAAAGAAATCAGCGTGTTTTCCCCCCCGCTTTTGGACTCCAAAAGCAGCTTCCGGACTTCGCGCGCCCTGATGGCGATGAGGTTCTGGGAAGGGCTGCAGGCGGTGAAGCTGAGCCAAAAGTTGCCCCACCTGGAGGAGGACGTCCTGCGCCTCGGAGTCTCGGAGTTGAGGAGTTGAGAGCCCGAAGAGCAGGCCCCAGAACCCGAGAAGAGCGGGCCGTTGTGGGCCGGTGTTTTTTTTTGGGGGTTCGCGGGGTGTTGCTCCAACAATTACGTGTTGTTTTCCATGTTTTGGGGTAGATGAAAACAATCGATCTGAAGGGATGATGTTCTGTGCAGCCAAGATATGGGTGGAAAAGGTTTTTCTGTACCAGATGTGGGCCGCAGATAGGGTCCCTCTAGGCGTTTGGAAATTTGTGTATGTATATATAATATAGACATACGTGACATACATAGATGTATCATCATGTTCAAAGGGTCGGATTGACCTGTCATGCTTTGCTTTGACGTTATGAAGGAACATGTGGGTATGGGTCAAAATGAAGCCACTGGGAGACCGCAGGTTTTGGTCCATCTTTCCACTTAGTAAGGTTCCAGTTGGGGTACCTATTTTTGACCCACAGCCATGTGAATCATGTCTAGTATTCCGTTCCCAGAGTTCCGGGGTTCTTGCAGGTTTCGGCTGAAACCCGGAGGTGCGTCGGCTTCCCGATCGGCGGGGACACCATCAGCGTGACCAGCGGCGTCATCTCCCGCATCGAGGCGAGTCGACCCAGGTCAGTGCGATACGCTCTTCTTAATAGTTGTCCTTTTTGGTTGTTTTGCTGGAAAAATAGATGGTGATTCCTGGTTTACCTGGTGGTTTGACCATCTACCAGGGCCATCTATTTCCCCTAAAAGGACACCTATGCTCTTGTTGCCAAAAAGTATGGCCTCCCAAGTGTAGATGTTCCTCCAGGTATGCCAACCTGGTCCTGAAAAACAGTGGCAAAGAGAGTGCTGCCATCCTGTTCGCTGTGGTTTCCCCACCTTTCCCATGGTCAAGACGGCCCAGTTGCCTTATCTAGATGGGTCACCTGATTGTGGTTGGGCGACCAACAAGAAGCCACTGCATGAGCTGAACGTTCACCTTCACAGTGGTATCACGGCTGAATGTGTTGTTCCAAAGGCATGGCCCGAGGTAAATTGAATAATATGCAGAACACATCATTTGATTAGCTGAAGCCTTCATGCCTTTGTCGTTTGTCATGCTTGCTGGTGATTCGATTCGGACGCCCTGCAGCAGTTGACACCAGGCCTAAATCTGTCATGGTCTTGAGTCGCAGCCGCGTCTGCCTTGACCAGCGGAGCTTGGTTGTGCTATGTCTGGCTCCTCATTTGCAGCCCCACTTGTGCTGTGGACGCATGGCTGCGTATCCTCAGCAGCCCACCATGTGTTGGGCACCTTGGCTTCGTGGTGTATGTCCACAGTGGTGGCGTCCCAGACGGACTGCGGGCAAGTTGAGTGATGCTCCTTGCACTGCGCTGCATCCATATTCCTAGCCCTGTAGGCGGCTTGTCACCAACAAGGGCAAACCATGGAGGCATCATGCAAAGGCAACTTGGTAGTTTCGCAGAATTTGGAGACTTGGAACTGCAGGCGGCAGTTGACAGCGAACCTTGATGTAGATTGACCTTGAGTTGGGGTGGAAGTGTTGTTGAGCTTGTGTTGTGGACGCATGGCTGCGTATCCTCAGCAGCCCACCATGTGTTGGGCACCTTGGCATCGTGGTGTATGTCCACAGTGGTGGCGTCCCAGACGGACCGCGGGCAAGTTGAGTGATGCTCCTTGCACTGCGCTGCATCCATATTCCTAGCCCTGTAGGCGGCTTGTCACCAACAAGGGCAAACCATGGAGGCATCATGCAAAGGCAACTTGGTAGTGTCGCAGAATTTGGAGACTTGGAACCGCACGCGGCAGTTGACAGCGAGCCTTGATGTAGATTGACCTTGAGTTGGGGTGGCTGTGTTGTTGAGCTTGTGTTGTGGACGCATGGCTGCGTATCCTCAGCAGCCCACCATGTGTTGGGCACCTTGGCATCGTGGTGTATGTCCACAGTGGTGGCGTCCCAGACGGACTGCGGGCAAGTTGAGTGATGCTCCTTGCATGGCGCTGCATCCATATTCCTAGCCCTGTAGGAGTTTGGTCACCAACAAGGGCAAACCATGGAGGCATCATGCAAAGGCAACTTGCTGGTAGGCCTGCAGAATTTGGAAACTTGGAACCGCAGGCGGCAGTTGAAAGCGAACCTTGATATAGATTGACCTTGAGTTGAGGTGGTTGTGTTGTTGAGCTTGTGTTTGTGGACGCATGGCTGCGTATCCTCAGCAGCCCACCATGTGTTGGGCACCTTGACATCGTGGTGTATGTCCACAGTGGTGGCGTCCCAGACGGACTGCGGGCAAGTTGAGTGATGCTCCTTGCACTGCGCTGCATCCATATTCCTAGCCCTGTAGGCGGCTTGTCACCAACAAGGGCAAACCATGGAGGCATCATGCAAAGGCAACTTGGTAGTAGGCCTGCAGAATTTGGAAACTTGGAACCGCACGCGGCAGTTGACAGCGAGCCTTGATGTAGATTGACCTTGAGTTGGGGTGGCTGTGTTGTTCGGCTTGTGTTGTGGACGCATGGCTGCGTATCCTCAGCAGCCCACCATGTGTTGGGCACCTTGGCATCGTGGTGTATGTCCACAGTGGTGGCGTCCCAGACGGACTGCGGGCAAGTTGAGTGATGCTCCTTGCACTGCGCTGCATCCATATTCCTAGCCCTGTAGGCGGCTTGTCACCAACAAGGGCAAACCATGGAGGCATCATGCAAAGGCAACTTGGTAGTAGGCCTGCAGAATTTGGAGACTTGGAAGCGCAGGCGGCAGTTGACAGCGAACCTTGATGTAGATTGACCTTGAGTTGGGGTGGTTGTGTTGTTGAGCTTGTGTTGTGGACGCATGGCTGCGTATCCTCAGCAGCCCACCATGTGTTGGGCACCTTGGCATCGTGGTGTATGTCCACAGTGGTGGCGTCCCAGACGGACTGCGGGCAAGTTGAGTGATGCTCCTTGCACTGCGCTGCATCCATATTCCTAGCCCTGTAGGCGGCTTGTCACCAACAAGGGCAAACCATGGAGGCATCATGCAAAGGCAACTTGGTAGTAGGCCTGCAGAATTTGGAGACTTGGAAGCGCAGGCGGCAGTTGACAGCGAACCTTGATGTAGATTGACCTTGAGTTGGGGTGGTTGTGTTGTTGAGCTTGTGTTGTGGACGCATGGCTGCGTATCCTCAGCAGCCCACCATGTGTTGGGCACCTTGGCATCGTGGTGTATGTCCACAGTGGTGGCGTCCCAGACGGACTGCGGGCAAGTTGAGTGATGCTCCTTGCACTGCGCTGCATCCATATTCCTAGCCCTGTAGGCGGCTTGTCACCAACAAGGGCAAACCATGGAGGCATCATGCAAAGGCAACTTGGTAGTGTCGCAGAATTTGGAGACTTGGAAGCGCAGGCGGCAGTTGACAGCGAACCTTGATGTAGATTGACCTTGAGTTGGGGTGGAAGTGTTGTTGAGATTGTGTTGTGGACGCATGGCTGCGTATCCTCAGCAGCCCACCATTTGTTGGGCACCTTGCATCGTGGTGTATGTCCACAGTGGTGGCGTCCCAGACGGACTGCGGGCAAGTTGAGTGATGCTCCTTGCACCGCGCTGGCTCCATATTCCTAGCCCTGTGGGCAGCTTGTTGCACACAAGGGCAAACCATGGAGGCATCATGCAAAGGCAACTTGGCAGTGTCGCAGAATTTGGAAACTTGGAACCGCAGGCGGCAGTTGACAGCGAACCTTGATGTAGATTGACCTTGAGTTGGGGTGGTTGTGTTGTTGAGATTGTGTTGTGGACGCATGGCTGCGTATCCTCAGCAGCCCACCATGTGTTGGGCACCTTGGCATCGTGGTGTATGTCCACAGTGGTGGCGTCCCAGACGGACTGCGGGCAAGTTGAGTGATGCTCCTTGCATTGCGCTGCATCCATATTCCTAGCCCTGTAGGCGGCTTGTCACCAACAAGGGCAAACCATGGAGGCATCATGCAAAGGCAACTTGTTAGTAAGCCTGCTGAATTTGGAGACTTGGAAGCGCAGGCGGCAGTTGACAGCGAACCTTGATGTAGATTGACCTTGAGTTGGGGTGGTTGTGTTGTTGAGCTTGTGTTGTGGACGCATGGCTGCGTATCCTCAGCAGCCCACCATGTGTTGGGCACCTTGGCATCGTGGTGTATGTCCACAGTGGTGGCGTCCCAGACGGACTGCGGGCAAGTTGAGTGATGCTCCTTGCACTGCGCTGCATCCATATTCCTAGCCCTGTAGGCGGCTTGTCACCAACAAGGGCAAACCATGGAGGCATCATGCAAAGGCAACTTGGTAGTTTCGCAGAATTTGGAGACTTGGAACCGCAGGCGGCAGTTGACAGCGAACCTTGATACAGCTTGATCTTGAGTTGGGGTGGTTGTGTTGTTGAGCTTGTGTTGTGGACGCATGGCTGCGTATCCTCAGCAGCCCACCATGTGTTGGGCACCTTGGCATCGTGGTGTATGTCCACAGTGGTGGCGTCTTAGACGGACTGCGGGCAAGTTGAGTGATGCTCCTTGCACCGCGCTGCATCCATATTCCTAGCCCTGTAGGCGGCTTGTCACCAACAAGGGCAAACCATGGAGGCATCATGCAAAGGCAACTTGGTAGTAAGCCTGCTGAATTTGGAGACTTGGAAGCGCAGGCTTCAGTTGACAGCGGACCTTGATGTAGATTGACCTTGAGTTGGGGTGGTTGTGTTGTTGAGCTTGTGTTGTGGACGCATGGCTGCGTATCCTCAGCAGCCCACCATGTGTTGGGCACCTTGGCATCGTGGTGTATGTCCACAGTGGTGGCGTCCCAGACGGACCGCGGGCAAGTTGAGTGATGCTCCTTGCACTGCGCTGCATCCATATTCCTAGCCCTGCAGTTGGCTTGTCGCCAACAAGGGCAAACCATGGAGGCATCATGCAAAGGCAACTTGGTAGTGTCGCAGAATTTGGAGACTTGGAAGCGCAGGCGGCAGTTGACAGCGAACCTTGATGTAGATTGACCTTGAGTTGGGGTGGTTGTGTTGTTGAGCTTGTGTTGTGGACGCATGGCTGCGTATCCTCAGCAGCCCACCATTTGTTGGGCACCTTTGCATCGTGGTGTATGTCCACAGTGGTGGAGTCCCAGACGGACCGCGGGCAAGTTGAGTGATGCTCCTTGCACTGCGCTGCATCCATATTCCTAGCCCTGTAGGCGGCTTGTCGCCAACAAGGGCAAACCATGGAGGCATCATGCAAAGGCAACTTGGTAGTGTCGCAGAATTTGGAGACTTGGAACCGCAGGCGGCAGTTGACAGCGAACCTTGATACAGCTTGATCTTGAGTTGGGGTGGAAGTGTTGTGAAGCTTGTGTTGTGGACGCATGGCTGCGTATCCTCAGCAGCCCACCATTTGTTGGGCACCTTGGCATCGTGGTGTATGTCCACAGTGGTGGCGTCCCAGACGGACCGCGGGCAAGTTGAGTGATGCTCCTGGCATTGCGCTGCATCCATATTCCTAGCCCTGTAGGCAGCTTGTCACCAACAAGGACAAACCATGGAGGCATCATGCAAAGGCAACTTGTTAGTAAGCCTGCTGAATTTGGAGACTTGGAAGCGCAGGCGGCAGTTGACAGCGAACCTTGATACAGCTTGATCTTGAGTTGGGGTGGTTGTGTTGTTGAGCTTGTGTTGTGGACGCATGGCTGCGTATCCTCAGCAGCCCACCATGTGTTGGGCACCTTGGCATCGTGGTGTATGTCCACAGTGGTGGCGTCCCAGACGGACTGCGGGCAAGTTGAGTGATGCTCCTTGCACTGCGCTGCATCCATATTCCTAGCCCTGTAGGCGGCTTGTCACCAACAAGGGCAAACCATGGAGGCATCATGCAAAGGCAACTTGGTAGTTTCGCAGAATTTGGAGACTTGGAACCGCAGGCGGCAGTTGACAGCGAACCTTGATGTAGATTGACCTTGAGTTGGGGTGGTTGTGTTATGGAGCTTGTGTTAGTTTCTGCTTTTCCGTTAACTCATCACTCATCTCCAAAAGGGGGGTACCCCAAAAACCAACCAGGACCGTGGGGTGGAGACCAAACAGCAAAATTCAGCGCGCGCCTTTGTCCTTCCCCAGAATTGGCTCTTTTTTTATTGTTTTTGTTGTTTTTGGGGGGTCCCCTTTGTTTCACGAACCAGGCAAAAAATATAGTTTTTTGCTGGGGTCCTAATTCCAGGTCACCACCTACACCCAAGCCTCAGCGGAGCTGCTGGGCATCCAAATCGACGCCGCCATCAACAGCGGCAATAGCGGGGGCCCGGCCTTCAACCGCCCGGGGCTTAGCTTGGATCAAAAAGAGGGTCTGTCTCTTTCTTTCGGGGAGTTGGTAGCTGTTTTTGTTTTGTGGTTTTAAAGGGAAACCAGGTTTTTGGTTCCTGGTGTTGTTGCGGTTTTAAAGGGAAGCCAAGAGGCGATGTCTGTTTTTTTTGGGAGTTGGTGCCTGTGTTTTTTTGGTTTGTGGTTTTAAAGGGAAACCAGAAGGCAATTTTTGTTGTTGATGACAACATCCACTTTGAGGTGTCCGTCTGGTTTGTTTGTTTGGAACTTGATCGCACTGGTTTAGATTGGCTTTATTCCCCATTTGCCAGGCCCATCTGTTTTTTCCAAAGGTCACCTGTGCCACTTGGCACTAGTCGGTGGGTGGTTTACCTCATTACAGGGCTTCATCCATCCTAACTGGTGCTGGATTTTGTCCATCCACAGTAGGGAGCCACCTATAACTGTGGTTGGTGGAGCCACCTATAACTGTGGTTGGTGGACAGGAATCCCCACCTACATGATGTCCACCAAAGGTTCCCTGATAAAAATTCATTCCGAGATCGAATCATTTCGTGAGGAAACGGCGATTGCGTGGGCATCGCCTTCCAGAGCATGAACGCAGACGAGGCGGAGAACATCGGCTACGTCATCCCCAGCGTGGTGGTGACACACTTCCTGCCGCTTGCTGAGATGATCCGCGGAAAGGGGTGCATGGGGCCTCTTCCTACACCCAAGGTCCCAAGGGAACTAACGGATTCTGTGATACATTTCTGCCATGTAGGCATTCCAAGGGAGTGATCATGGCCGCTGGAAGCCAAGAAACGAACTTGCGAAGCCTTTCTTGAAAGGTTTACCAAGTTTGGAGGAGGACTCACTCGCTTTTCAGGACTTTCGGTCTTTTTGGGCTTGGACCCTTTCCGTGGGCATGTTGGGACTTTGTCTCCTTGGAATGTGCCCAAGGAAACAGCTTGTATCGAGATGCGAAGTGTGAGTGCGCAAGAACCCACCAGCCGGTCAACTAACCAGCCCACAAACTCACGCACTCACTCGCCCACATACCCCACGTAACCCACCAGCCAGCCAACACGCCAGCCGACCAGAAACCAACCAACCAGCCAAGACACCCGCCACCAACCCGACCATGTGGGGCCCACCCCGCCCAACCCCACCCCACCCCACCCATTCTTTTGGTGCATCCTCAGGAAAGACTTGCTGAAGCACGGGGAGTACACCGGCTTTCCCACGCTGGGTGTAGAGACGCAAACCATGGAGACACCCGGCAGAAAATGGCCGCGGTTCAGAGCTCACCCCCGCGGGAGTGTGTTGGGTGCCTCTCCTCACTCCTTCAGAGCCCCATGGACCTGGCAAATAAGGCAGTCCAAGTCGGATCCAAGGTCTGGCTTCGTAAAGTGAGGGCACTTCAAAGGAACACTTCAGGAGTTGATGTTGATGTCATTTTGCCTTTTCGCCGGAATCCGAATATTGGTTGTGGTTGGGGGGGGGCAAAAGCTGAGGTTGGATTCATCAGCGTACGATGCCGTTTCATGGGCAGGTTGTTGGGAGCAGTCGAATGCAGGACAATCAACGGCAGCCTGTTTGTTCTTATCAGTCATTCACCCCAGAGGGTCCCCTGGTACCTTGTAAGGATATACTTAGACGCCTTTTGACCCTCCAAAAGCCATCCTCAGAAGGTACCAACAAACCCTCTTGGTACCCAGGTTCCGGAGCATCTCCAAAGCGGAGATTAACAAAAAAACATCCGCACCCTTTTCAGTTTTTGGATGCTTGGTTGGTCGCCCGGGTCCACCGCTCTGCGCCTTTCTGCCCGCGCACTACGCCAGGAACGCGCAGCTGCGGCAGGCCTTTGGTATGAGCGACAAGCTGCCTGGCGCTGATTGGTGCACACGGGTCCCGTTGCACTGAATGAACTCTCGGTCACTTCCATTTGTTGAAGAATATTTGTTATTTTCCCCTGTTGGTTTTAAAAGGAATCAATCACTACTGGTTGTTTTTGCTTTTTAATAAAACATATTTTTTTCAGGGGGCTTAAGCAAATGGAAGGTCAGGTTTGGGGCTATGCTGGAAAATGACTTTTTGGGACCAAGCCGCGTAGTGGATATGTACTGCCCACAATGTCCTGGTGACTTCTCCCCTGCTGGTAAGCCGTCCTGTTCTGAAAGCATGACTGACTCTGGGGTTTCCTTCTCTTTTTGGAGTATGTTGATTTGACGCCATGCTTAGAGGCTAAGTGGGACACCGCCCCCTAAGCTCCACTTCGATCCAAGCCACTGAACGGGAAGCTGATATATGATGAAAGGCGGCGCAAGCGTGGGTTCCTGCGCGGTGGGTTCCGTGCTTCCATGGCAGGTGAGGGGTCTGGGGCCGAGAAGCTGCCTTTCAACTTGAGAATGCTAAACGAAAGGCAAGCCAAGAAGTTGAACTTGCAATTTCAAGGGTCTTGGCGGGTTTCTTTGGTGTGGCTTTTCGTGAAGCCTCCTGGTTACCTGCCTTGGGTAGCCGCAAGCACCGGAGCTTCACAAAGATGCAGGCCAGTAAGTTTCTTGGGGCACAGGTTGACGAATCGTGTCAGGTGGGTTGGGTTTCTCTTGAGCGAGGAGAGCAAGGTTGTTCCGAGCTAGCAAAAGTAGACTTCATACTTAGGTTTGGGACTTGGCGAAGAGGTTAGTCACCCCCAGCTCACCCCTCAATCGCTCTCAAATTACAAGGACTTCGGATCCGGATGCCGGCGGACGTGAGCCTATTTTGTCGTTTTTTACCCTTGGCTGGCGGGGAAAGCCAGAGGGGCTCACTAGAGCTTCCGATACCGGCGCTTTTCCTTTGGCCTTTTTGGGGAGCATGAGCCGACTTAGGGTTGCTACACTTTGGGCGGCCTTTGCCGACCGGATTTGACCCCCTCCCCAAGCCGTTGGGTTGAATCAAGGCAGTTTCGAGGTTGCCTTGTGGGCAACGGGCAATACGACCAGTGCATCGGTTTCGGTGGTGGAGCCCTGTCGGTAGTAGACTTGGCGGTTACGACACCTTCAGCCACCTCGCCCTTCTTGGTTTGGATGTGATTCAATGGAGCTGCGGCCTTCCAGTGCAAGAAGTCGTGCACAAGCGAATCAACCTGGCCTTTTGGGACAGTTTTGCAGATGCGTCATGTTTTCAGCAATCAACCAGCAGTGATTTCCGGGCTTCTTTGCCAAGACCTGCTTTTTCTGCTTCCTCTTTCAGCAGTGAACTTAGACCGCTGAATTGGCGCAACACGGGTTTCTGTTTCAGCCCAGAGGAATCCTGAAGGAAACCCAGAGGGTCCAAGTACCTTCTAAGGACGTACTTAGACCGCTTTTGACCCCCCTAAAGCCATCCTCAGAAGGTGGACCCTCTAGGAAACCCAATGGAAAGGGTTTTCCGCGAGGGAAATCGCCCGAGTGCCTCAAGACATGAGGCAGAAGGGGGTGCTCATCAACCGGGTCCTGCCGACTTCGGCTGCGGCCGCGGTTCTCAAGGCAAGTTGGCCATGGGGCATAACTTATGGCTCCATTTTGGGGTGGATGAATATCCATCGTATTTTGATGTTCACCCTCAGGGGTACAGGCTTTTGACCCACAGCCAGTTGTTTCCAAGGAAGCTTGCCTTCATTTTTCCGGGGGGGGGGGTCCAGTTTTCTGGATGGACCACTTTTCTGAGCTGCCAAGGAAGCTTGCCTTCCTTTCTCGGGGGGGGGGGTACCAGTTTTCTGGATAGCTGCTTAGGCCTTTGGGCCTTCTGAAACAGATTGGGAGTAAAGTATATGTGGGTTGCCCAAGGATTGGTTAGCCTCAAGCACGGTTGGGAGGGTTGAGGGGGAGTTCTGGTGGGGGGTTAGCTGCTCTCCAAAATGGCTTCGGTGTCCCTTTTGTTCCCTTTGAGAACTGCCCAAGAATAAGACACACCAGTAGCTTGTTCCCTCCGAAGTTTCCCTCAGGATAGCTGGAGTTGAACAGTTTTGGTCGGGTGGTTCCGTTTGAGGCTATCCTTGTTTTCCATGAACCCAGAGGGTCCAAGTATGTCCACGTATCTTCCGAGGATGGCGTTAGGGGGGTCAAAAGGGTTTAAGTACGTCCTTAGAAGGTACCAGGGGAACTTGTGGGCTTGTTTTCAAGACCTATTTTAATGGGGATTGGGATGTTCACCGCGTATAAGGGGTTTTGACCCATGGCCAGGCTATCCCTGTTGTCCATGAACCTTTGCCTGGGGTCCAAATTCGCCAGGCCAGCGACGTGTTGCTGGCCTTCGACGGGGAGATCATTGGCAACGATGGGACGGTGAGGTTTCGGAAGCACGAGCGGGTCTTGTACTCCTGGCTGGTGGCGTCTCGGATCTGGGATCTGGTGGATTGTTTTTTTTTTTGCTTTTCCCTCCGGGTTGGTGAAGTTGGCTATCGTTGTAAATACATGCCATGTTTGAATATAGGGTCCAAGTACCTCCTGAGGATGGCATTTGGGGGGTCAAAACCAACCGAGCACCCAAAGCCATGCCCACCGAAGCTTTGGAGCCAATCGAGGCGCAGAAGTTCTTCGGGGAGAAAGCGGCCCTCACCGTGTTGCGCGAAGGCCATTCCCCGCGGAGAAAAAGGACACGAGCTTTTTTCCAACCCCAAACAGGGTGGGGGTGGGGAAAAGGACCAATTTTGATCTACCTGATGAACCAGGTTCCCCCTGAATCCGGGTGTTTGCGACCTCCATTTCGCCACCATGTGGTGGTGGTTCCTTATACCGTTCCTTATTAAAATTCATGGCCATTTCTGGCCGGCGCTTTTGACGGAGTCACCCTTTGGCGTGCAAACAAATCCTGTGGCAGGGCACAGAACACTCCAACAAGCAATTGAGGGCACAGCCGCCCCCCAAGGGGGAAATTGCTTTCCAACCCCAAACTTGTGTTTGGCACCATTTTACCTCTTGGCAAGCGAAAAGAAGAGGTTGAGTTCTCTGGTTTACTCATGGCTTTTAACGTGGCCCGCAAGCCGAATCATTCGAATGATTTGGGCCTTTGACCCTGTTGCGGACTCTACTACCCAAAACCTAGGTCATATATCCTGAAGACAGATGTTGCACGTGTCCATCAATTGCCCCCGGTGACTTTTTCCTCATTGTTGTCCTTTGATGTCCCCGAGGAGGTTCAATGTTGGTTTCCTTTTCACAAAGGTTCCCATGGTTTAAGCAAGTCGAAGATCGAGTGTCGGCAACCTCGCAGAGAACCCCAGGTTCCACCGATAAGGCATTGTGTTATGAGTCTGTAATTGGCCCAAGGGGCATGTTCCGGCAACATGGAGAATGGGAGTATCCAACATAACTCCTTGGGGCGCTCCCTTCATTCAGTAAGAGGCAACTCCCGCAAGCAGAAATGCGTCTCTCTCGAAAGGACACACTGAGCACCCAATGAATGTGCAAAAAATGAATAAAGGCCCCTATATGCTGTGACGGACTAGCACTGAGAATAGAACTTGTTGCTTTGACTGCACTTAGAATACAAACTGTTTGCACTCATTGAACACCGTCTTGCACTTAGAATATGCGTCGAGTCAACTTACGGAACAATCTGCACGAACATGTGTAAGTGGAATGCAGTGGACTATCCAAGCCGGCTGACTCTATCAGACGCGCTTCAAAATGTAAAAAATGGGAGCAGGGAAAGGCTTGAGGAGCGAGCTTCAAATGCGTTTGTTGAATTTCCAGAAATTCAAGCGGAGAGTGCCGGAATGTGAAGAAAGAGCTTCAAACTGATCGAAGCCCCAACAAAACCAACCCATGATACCCGCGTGTGCTGAGTCTGACCAATATGCATAATATACGTATACATCATATGGATATGCGCCAGGCACGGAATCATCAGAGAAGGGCACTGGTGGGTTTGTCAAGATTTGCAGGGGATGTCAGCCTGTCAGCCCATTTTCTGGGCTTACACTAGGGGGGTGTGGGGGGAGGGGGGACAGGATCCAATGCCAGCCCGCTGACACGTAGGGAAACAAATGCAAGGGCCTGAATCATTTGAATGGGCTGGTGGCAGACTTTAAACCCAAATTATGACATGCAGTAGAGAAGTGGTGTAATTATTTCGCCCTTGACAAAACACGGTTTAGCCCCTTCAAAAAGACAACTGCGAGGAAAGGCAGACCTGATAGGCTCCTTAGTGCATGTCCACTCCCACTGAATAATACAGGGCTCCTTAAAAGATACATTTTGCCCATTTGAAACATGTTTTTTCCCACCAAAATACAGGGACACCACCACCTACAAGGCAATGTTCAGGTGCATAATGCAAGGATCCCTGTTAGGTCGCCAAGGGACCCACCCTTTGCCAAAAGGAAACATGGCTGCTTACCTCTGGTAACTGAGCTGCGGCAGTAAGGGATCAATGCACTGAGTAGTTTTCTAGTAGTTCCCTTCTAGGATCCCACCTTGGGCCTTTGACCCCAAAGGGCCGATCTTAAGTAGTCGCCTTCGGGTTCCTTTGGCCGTTCCAAGGCGGTCCAAAACGGTCCCCAAACGGCCCAAATCGCCTCGGGGGAAACTCGGCGGATCTTTGGCTTAAGGAGCAACTCCTTGGGTCCCAACGGACCGAGGGAAATCGGGTGGAAATCGGGCCGCGCAGACTCGCTGCGGCTCACGTTTTGAGCTCCTGGACCCGGCACCTGTTTTGGGTTGAGATCCATACGAGGAAGCCCAGTGACTCGCTGCCCGAGTTGGCTGTTGGACTTTGGAAGACTCTTTTAGTGGTAAATGTCAAGTTCCTGGACTTGTTTTTGTTCCCGTCCACTCAGGAAGTGAGCAGATCACCCAGTTTGTCCCAGTTACTTTCAGCAGGTGAGCCAACCACCTGAGAGTTGGGTCGGCTCTTCCACGAAGCAATTGTTGAACTAGCTCAGACTGGCGTTTTCTTTGAAGCCAATCCATAACGTAAGCGCATCGACACCTTTTGGAAGAATCCCCCTCCCCGAGAATGTTTATCACCCCTGGAGTTTCATGATTCTGCTTTCCCTTTGTAGAAAAAGGGAACCCCCCCCTTGACTATCTTGACTCGCGCCCGAGTTCCTGGACGTTAGGCTATTTTAGTGGTAAGCACAAAGTTCGGGCTCTCTCTCTCTCTCTCTCTCTCTCTCTCTCTCTCTCTCTCTCTCTCTCTCTCTCTCTTTTTTCCAATCCACACAGTAGAAGACGGCGTGGTTTTGCTTTGGAATTGGGGCTTGCCCTGAACTGGGGTCTCCAGAACCTATATATATATATGTATATATGTATATATGCCCTTTACATCTATACATATATGTATATATATATATATATCGATATTTTGGGTAGGCCACATATGAAAACAGCCTCAGCCCATCCGATTTGTTCGGTGTTCCCCGAACCTCGGCATTTGGATTCAGCTCGGGAGGCAAGCAGCTGGAGCTTGAGATTCCCGAGCTCTACAAGGAGGCCAACCGCTCGTGGCCGGCGGCCGGCGCGGTGGGTTGGACTCGGAGCGGTGGGGTCCCAGAAAGCGGGTGGGCGGGCGGGGGGCGGGCGGGGCGGGTCCCCTTATACCTAAGGACGTGCTGAACGGCATTTCTTTGACCCCCCTTTTCAGCCACGTTGCGGTGCTTGGGAGAAGTCTGAATGGTGGTTGACCGCTGGCTTTGCGTAGCTTTGCGAAGCTTGGATGTTGTGGACGCGCACCTTCGGACTGCGGGCAAGTTGAGTCATGCTCCTTGCACCGCGCTGGCTCCATATTCCTAGCCCTGTGGGCAGCTAGTTGCACACAAGGGCAAACCATGGAGGCATCATGTTGAGCAGATTGCGGTTTGCGGTGCTTGGGAGAAGTCTGAATGGTGGTTGACCGCTGGCTTTGCGTAGCTTTGCGAAGCTTGGATGTTGTGGACGCATGGCTGCGTATCCTCAGCAGCCCACCATGTGTTGGGTCCACCTGCGGGCAAGTTGAGTCATGCTCCTTGCACCGCGCTGGCTCCATATTCCTAGCCCTGTGGGCAGCTAGTTGCACACAAGGGCAAACCATGGAGGCATCATGTTGAGCAGATTGCGGTTTGCGGTGCTTGGGAGAAGTCTGAATGGTGGTTGACCGCTGGCTTTGCGTAGCTTTGCGAAGCTTGGATGTTGTGGACGCATGGCTGCGTATCCTCAGCAGCCCACCATGTGTTGGGCACCTTGGCTTAGTGGTGTATGTCCACAGTGGTGGCGTCCCCGGACTGCGGGCATGTGTTGGGCACCTTGGCTTCATGGTGTGAGCAGATTGTTTGCGGTGCTTGGGAGAAGTCTGAATGGTGGTTGACCGCTGGCTTTGCGTAGCTTTGCGAAGCTTGATGTTGTGGACGCAACTCAGCAGACCATGTGTTGGGCAAGTGGTGGTCCACAGTGGTGGCGTCCCAGACGGACTGCGGGCAAGTTGAGCTGCCTTGCACCGCGCTGGCTCCATATTCCTAGCCCTGTGGGCAGCTAGTTGCACACAAGGGCAAACCATGGAGGCATCATGTTGAGCAGATTGCGGTTTGCGGTGCTTGGGAGAAGTCTGAATGGTGGTTGACCGCTGGCTTTGCGTAGCTTTGCGAAGCTTGGATGTTGTGGACGCATGGCTGCGTATCCTCAGCAGCCCACCGTTGGGCACCTGGCTTAGTGGTGTATGTCCACAGTGGTGGCGTCCCAGACGGACTGCGGGCAAGTTGAGTCATGCTCCTTGCACCGCGCTGGCTTCATATTCCTAGCCCTGTGGGCAGCTTGTTGCACACAAGGGCAAACCATGGAGGCATCATGGAGCAGATTGCGGTTTGCGTGCTTGGGAGAAGTCTGAATGTGTTGACCGCTGGCTTTGCGTAGCTTTGCGAAGCTTGGATGTTGCTGCGTATCTCAGCAGCCCACCATGTGTTGGGCACCTTGGCTTTGGGTTGTCCACAGTGGTGGGCGTCTCAGACGACTGCGGGCAAAGTTGAGTCATGCCCTTGCACCGCGCTGGCTCCATATTCCTACCCGTGGCAGCTGTTGCACACAAGGGCAAACCATGAGGCATCATGTTGAGCAGATTGCGGTTTGCGGTGCTTGGAGAAGTCTAAATGTGGTTGACCTGGCTTTGCGTAGCTTATGCTTGATGTTGTGGACGCATGGCTGCGTATCCTCAGCAGCCCACCATGTGTTGGGCACCTGGGCTTAGTGGTGTATGTCCACAGTGGTGGCGTCCCAGACGGACTGCGGGCAAGTTGAGTCATGCTCCTTGCACCGCGCTGGCTCCATATTCCTAGCCCTGTGGGCAGCTGTTGCACACAAGGGCAAACCATGGAGGCATCATGTTGAGCAGATTGCGGTTTGCGGTGCTTGGGAGAAGTCTGAATGTTGTTGGTTGACCGCTGGCTTTGCGTAGCTTTGCGAAGCTTGGATGTTGTGGACGCAAGGCTGCGCATCCTCAGCAGCCCACCATGTGTTGGGCACCTTGGCTTAGTGGTGTATGTCCACAGTGGTGGCGTCCCAGACGGACTGCGGGCAAGTTGAGTCACGCTCCTTGCACCGCGCTGGCTCCATATTCCTAGCCCTGTGGGCAGCTAGTTGCACACAAGGGCAAACCATGGAGGCATCATGTTGAGCAGATTGCGGGTTGCGGTGCTTGGGAGAAGTCTGAATGGTGGTGGTTGACCACTGGCTTTGCGTAGCTTTGCGAAGCTTGGATGTTGTGGACGCATGGCTGCGTATCCTCAGCAGCCCACCATGTGTTGGGCACCTTGGCTTAGTGGTGTATGTCCACAGTGGTGGCGTCCCAGACGGACTGCGGGCAAGTTGAGTCATGCTCCTTGCACCGCGCTGGCTCCATATTCCTAGCCCTGTGGGCAGCTAGTTGCACACAAGGACAAACCATGGAGGCATCATGTTGAGCAGATTGCGGTTTGCGGTGCTTGGTAGAAGTCTGAATGTTGGTGGTTGACCGCTGGCTTTGCGTAGCTTTGCGAAGCTTGGATGTTGTGGACGCATGGCTGCGTATCCTCAGCAGCCCACCATGTGTTGGGCACCTTGGCTTGGTGGTGTATGTCCACAGCACTGCGCTGGCTCCATATTCCTAACCCTGTGGGCAGCTAGTTGCACACAAGGGCAAACAAACCATGGAGGCATCATGTTGAGCAGATTGCGGGTTGCGGTGCTTGGGAGAAGTCTGAATGCCGGTGGCTGACCGCTGGCTTTGCGTAGCTTTGCGAAGCTTGGATGTTGTGGACGCATGGCTGCGTATCCTCAGCAGGTGTATGTCCACAGTGGTGGCGTCCCAGACGAGGTGCTTGGGAGAAGTCTCGATGTTGGTGGTTGACCGCTGGCTTTGCGTAGCTTTGCGAAGCTTGGATGTTGTGGACGCATGGCTGCGCATCCTCAGCAGCCCACCATGTGTTGGGCACCTTGGCTTAGTGGTGCGTATGTCCACAGTGGTGGCGTCCCAGACGGACTGCGGGCAAGTTGAGTCATGCTCCTTGCACCGCGCTGGCTCCATATTCCTAACCCTGTGGGCAGCTAGTTGCACACAAGGGCAAACCATGGAGGCATCATGTTGAGCAGATTGCGGTTTGCGGTGCTTGGAAGAAGTCTGAATGTTGGTAGTTGACCGCTGGCTTTGCATAGCTTTGCGAAGCTTGGATGTTGTGGACGCATGGCTGCGTATCCTCAGCAGCCCACCATGTGTTGGGCACCTTGGCTTAGTGGTGTATGTCCACAGTGGTGGCGTCCCAGACGGACTGCGGGCAAGTTGAGTCATGCTCCTTGCACCGCGCTGGCTCCATATTCCTAGCCCTGTGGGCAGTTTGTTGCACACAAGGGCAAACCATGGAGGCATCATGTTGGGAGAAGTCTGAATGTTGGTGGTTGACCGCTGGCTTTGCGTAGCTTTGCGAAGCTTGGATGTTGTGGACGCATGGCTGCGCATCCTCAGCAGGTGTATGTCCACAGTGGTGGCGTCCCAGACGCGGTGCTTGGGAGAAGTCTCGATGTTGGTGGTTGACCGTTGGCTTTGCGAAGCTTTGCGAAGCTTGGATGTTGTGGACGCATGGCTGCGTATCCTCAGCAGCCCACCATGTGTTGGGCACCTTGGCTTAGTGGTGTATGTCTAGAGTGGTGGCGTCCCAGACGGACTGCGGGCAAGTTGAGTCATGCTCCTTGCACCGCGCTGGCTCCATATTCCTAACCCTGTGGGCAGCTTGTTGCACACAAGGGCAAACCATGGAGGCATCATGTTGAGCAGATTGCGGTTTGCGGTGCTTTGGGAGAACGAATGTTGGTGGTTGACCTTGCGTAGCTTTGCGAAGCTTGGATGTCGTGGACGCATGGCTGCGTATCTCAGCAGCCCACCATGTGTTGGGCAGTGGCGTAGTGGTGTATGTCCACAGTGGTGGCGTCCCAGGCGGACTGCGGGCAAGTTGGAGTCATGCTCTTGCAGGAAAACCAAACCAATATTCCAGCCCTGTGGGTTTGTTGTAATACAAGGGCAAACCATGGAGGCATCATGTTGAGCAGATTGCGGTTTGCGGTGCTAGAAGTCTGAATGTTGGCGGTTGACCGCTGGCTTTGCGTGCTTTGCGAAGCTTGGATGCTGTGGACGGCACGGTGATCCTCAGCAGCCCACCATGTGTTGGGCACCTTGGCTTAGTGGTGCAGCGCGTCCACAGTGGTGGCGTCCCAGACGGACTGCGGGCAAGTTGAGTCATGCTCCTTGCACCGCGCTGGCTCCATATTCCTAGCCCTGTGGGCAGCTTGTTGAACACAAGGGCAAACCATGGAGGCATCATGTTGAGCAGATTGCGGTTTGCGGTGCTTGGGAGAAGACTGAATGTTGGTGGTTGACCGCTGGCTTTGCGTAGCTTTGCTGAAGCTTGGATGTTGTGGACGCATGGCTGCGTATCCTCAGCAGCCCACCATGTGTTGGGTACCTTGGCTTAGTGGTGTATGTCTAGAGTGGTGGCGTCCCAGACGGACTGCGGGCAAGTTGAGTCATGCTCCTTGCACCGCGCTGGCTCCATATTCCTAGCCCTGTGAGCAGCTATAGTTGCACACAAGGGCAAACCATGGAGGCATCATGTTGAGCAGATTGCAAGTTGCGGTGCTTGGGAACAGTCTGAATGGTGGTTGACCGCTGGCTTTGCGTAGCTTTGCGAAGCTTGGATGTTGTGGACGCATGGCTGCGTATCCTCAGCAGCCCACCATGTGTTGGGCACCTTGGCTTAGTGGTGTATGTCCACAGTGGTGGCGTCCCAGACGGACTGCGGGCAAGTTGAGTCATGCTCCTTGCACCGCGCTGGCTCCATATTCCTAGCCCTGTGGGCAGCTTGTTGCACACAAGGGCAAACCATGGAGGCATCATGCTGAGCAGATAGAAGGGTTGCGGTGCTTGAGAGAAGTTTGAATGTTGGTCAACAACATGTTGTTGTTGACCGCTGGCTTTGCGTAGCTTTGCGAAGCTTGGATGTTGTGGACGCATGGCTGCGTATCCTCAGCAGCCCAACATGTGTTGGGCACCTTGGCTTAGTGGTGTATGTCCACAGTGGTGGCGTCCCAGACGGACTGCGGGCAAGTTGAGTCATGCTCCTTGCACCGCGCTGGCTCCATATTCCTAGCCCTGTGGGCAGCTTGTTGCACACAAGGGCAAACCATGGAGGCATCATGTTGAGCAGATTGCGGTTGCGGTGCTTGGGAGAAGTCTGAATGTTGGTGGTTGACCGCTGGCTTTGCGTAGCTTTGCGAAGCTTGGATGTTGTGGACGCATGGCTGCGTATCCTCAGCAGCCCACCATGTGTTGGGCACCTTGGCTTAGTGGTGTATGTCCACAGTGGTGGCGTCCCAGACGGACTGCGGGCAAGTTGAGTCATGCTCCTTGCACCGCGCTGGCTCCATATTCCCAGCCCTGTGGGCAGCTAGTTGCACACAAGGCAAAACCATGGAGGCATCATGTTGAGCAGATTGCGGTTTCATGTGCTTGGGAGAAGTCTGAATGTTGGTGGTTGACCGCTGGCTTTGCGTAGCTTTGCTGAAGCTTGGATGTTTTGGACGCATGGCTGCGTATCCTCAGCAGCCCACCATGTGTTGGGCACCTTGGCTTAGTGGTGTATGTCCACAGTGGTGGCGTCCCAGACGGACTGCGGGCAAGTTGAGTCATGCTCCTTGCACCGCGCTGGCTCCATATTCCTAGCCC